GAGAGAGAGAGAGAGGGTCTCCTAAAGAGAGAAACCTTAGGTTTTCCTCTAGGCTTCTATATTTTAAAGAGATAAAATCCAACTCCATCCAAACTCTAGCAAGCCATACCTCAACTTGACCCTAAGCTAGCAAACAGAGAAAGCCAAACTATTGGGGCTTCCACCGACATGGTTTAAGCCGGATGGTCTAAGAGGATCTGCCTAAATGGATATGTGAGATTAAAATAGCCCATACAAATTTGTAAGCATTTTCTTTGAGAAGTTATATTTTATCCTTTTCTTATATGCTTGCATTATTTTTAGTTATTTATATTTTGCCTCGCACACACAGAAAATTGGGCAATAGTGGCCATTGATCTAGTTGAAGAGTTAGTGAATAAAGAGATGGAGCAAATATGCCCTCATGTGCCAGTGTTGTTCCTTGAAATTCTTCCTCAACCAAATGTGCCTGATTGAGGTCAATTCTCTCGGGGGCATTGTTCCCAACATAACAAACATAAAAGTGTTTAAGGGCTCCTCCAACTGTGTTGGACTTGCTCATGACCCTCTAGCACAAAATCTTTTACACATCTTATCCATCATCATCATCTCACGAGCTCTGATAGGGAGATGAAGGGCATTCCTTGCTCTACCCTTCTATAGTGATGGTCAACAAGGAATATTTACTTTGATCCAGTTGAAAGATATCAATGGACTCAATCATGATCTCTCCACTGAATCTCTTTTGAGTAAGTGACCATTGGTAAATCTGAGTAGTCAACTCATAAACACATAGATTTTCTTACTTAATAATTACTAGGGAACTAAAATACCAAAAAAATGAAAAAGGAAGTGTTGTGGAAATTATGGAAACCTGCACTTATTTTTGGGTAAAGTATTTTCTTTGTGTGTACCCATATTAAGAAGGTAGTTCATTGCATATGTTACTTTCTTTATTAGTACACAACTTTGTAACCCTATAAATTAGGGCTCTTGTTTACATCTTCAATAAGCTCTGAAATACATCTTCCATGAGGGCTTAAGGCCCAAATATATAGAAATACATTTTCTCATAAATGCTAAACAAAAGATGCATTCTTTAAGATACAGTTCATTATGCTAAACTTCATTTAGTGAATGAAAATGAATCTAGGTAAAAGGTTACACGTATTTGGGATCTTAGAGCTCCTATGCCACACAACTGATGATAAATTAAAATGACAAAATGAACTACGGAATAATTAATTAGAATGTATGCGTACCACCCTTCTCCATGTTGTTTGAGACGTGTGCCTTTTGTGTACAGGACATAGGGGTGCTTTACTCCTCTTGCACGGTACTCATGTTCCGCCATTCGATCCATCATAATCACTTAAACCTCTATTTTTGAATGCACACAGTGCCAGGAGTAATGCTTGTCCTGTTCACATTTAAAATAATGCCATACCTAGTTAAGGAAAAAAAAGAAAAGAAAAGTAACAACCCATCATACAACCTTAAAATGATAAAATTAAACAAAACTCATATCCTTGGTTCTAACATCTATAAAATACACAAAGCATTACAACCTAAGCAAATGAGACCAAAACAATAAGTCATGAACATGAACTTAAACACACAAGGGATAATGAATTTGGGATATCAACATGCATATTCCTTTGTCTTTTTGAAATTATAAAGTGAACAAAAAAGTTTCCAATTTTTAATAGAGGTCCCTTTTTTATAAGTTCTTTTTTATTTCCAAAAATACTTCTAGTTCGACTCTTGAAGGGCCAAACTGGCTTTTGGAGCGCTCATTCAATGTTCACAAAAACCAGTTTGATATTTTATCTTTGGGTCCTGATGTAACTTGTTGAGAGTGAGAGGGAAATTTAAAGAAAAATGACGTTTTTATTTGTTCAGAAGGGGGCAAGGTTTAGAACTTCAGCATCTAAACCCTACCCTCAATAGAAAATGAGTGAAAGATGGGTTTGAAATTTGACAAGTTATGAACCAATCATTCATTCTAAAGGAAAAATAAGTTACCTAGTATGGAATTTCGAGTTCTGAACTGTGTCACTTACCTTTTTTTTGACTAAAGGTTCCTTTTTTTTTTTTAAAGACAATTGACCCGGTTTTGACATTGAAGCTCCAAACCGAGTCATATGTCTCTTTTTAAATTGAGGTATCAGCTCGAAACTACAAGTTCCAAATCGGCTTATTTAGAAAAAAGAATATGTTCAAATTTCCAATGTTCGAACTAATTTTTCACTAAAATAAAAGATCCCCAATTCGGAATGGGTATTTTGGGAAATTTAAAAATAAAAAGAAATGAGACATGGGCATAAAATATGAAATCTCAGAGACACTTTTCAGACTCATCAAATTATATGGGATATTTATGAAAATTTCCCTGATAAGTATACTGATTGGTTTTCATGCCCATTATTTTAGATAGAATTTTTTCTTGAATAAAATGAATTTTTTTGTTAGAAATAAGACATTATCATTTTATCCCATTTTGAAAAGTCACCAAATAATAATAATAATAACATATATATAGAGATCTTATTTTTTAGGCTATAAACTATTATAACTAAAATTTCAAAACAAGAAATTCGTAATTGAAGACCATAAAAATTAAGAAAGTCTCATATTTTTTAGAGCAAAAAATAAAAGAATTTGAAAATAATAAATTGAACATGATTTTGTCATCCCAAGATTTGATACAATAGTATACAACAAATAGCCCATATTCAATCTGGGCAAATCGGATGGCCATGGTCATGTTTCATCTTTGAATTTATTTTTTTCTACAAATCTAAATTACTTGAAATTTGAAGTGTATACTCTTAAAAATTAGTGCTCAAATTTAAAATATAAAAAATATTTAATAAAAAATAATTTGACCAAAATATCTTAAAATATTTACTGATATTTTGGTTAATTTACTTAATTTTCTGAGGTGCACTTTAATAAGTAGAATGGATACTCTAGTTTTTAAAAAAATTAAATTTGTCTAATTTTTTCTAAAATTTAAATATGAAATGCGATCATGACAATTAGATCGGCCCGAGATTTGTTGTAGGTTGTTAGAAGTACATTATTGCGTCAACCTTTACGTGTTTTTCCATAACAATTTCCCCTAATATTGGGTATGTATGTAAGAGACCCATTTATTAAGACTCCACGTAAGAAGTTCCTAGCCCAATCTTATGCCCATCTAAGCCCAGATTTTAGCGCTTAATCTTTTACGTGAGATTTTGTTTAATATAATACATCTGGCTCTTTTTATTTTTGGTGATTATGACCAAATATATTGAAATAGATGGCTACATTTCTTGATGATGACAAAAAACCGCACATCATAAAAATAAAATAAAAAAATAATGGGATTGTATACAATGAAACAATTTATTTTTGATAAAAAATGGTCACAATTTCTTACAACCATTTGATGTGAAATTTGATAGCTTCGATGTGTTAAAAAGTCCGAGAAAATTTCTTTTCAAGTTTGAGCTTAGTCAATGGAATAATTACAATCTCTCAATTTCACATTCAATGGTCAAAATGAATGTCACCATTTTATATCAAAGGTAAATAATTTCGTTCTATACTTTCCTGATATGAGATAGTTGGTGACAAAACATTTAGAGGCAAAAGAAAAAGGCACCACATCAACGTCTCTCTCCTGACCTAAGAGAAAGTTCCTTTCATTTACTCAAATAAAATTGCTTGACAAACAACATTCATAGATAAAAGGGTTTATTTACAGGGAGCATTATAAAATTGCTTGACAACAACATTCATAGATAAAAGGGTTTATTTACAGGGAGCATTATAATGGTGATGTGGGTCGATCCCTTTATTATTAAGACGCCCTAACCTCAAAGTAATAACTATCTTAAGAAAATATCTAAAAGTTTGTCAACCCCCCCAGAGTTTTAAGAAAATATCTTCGATTTTTTTCAGAAAAGCCAAGCGTTGTCCTCTATGATACATCCCACACCCTTCCTTTGCGATTTCAGCCACAACGGCCCACACCGCATCCGGGACCTACCTCTGCTGTACGATCAAACTTAATCGAACAGTTCAAATCCCACTACAATCGGTTTCGGACACAGGCCTCCTGGTTCGGAAATAAGGTCTGGAGTCATATCGGGTGTATAAAATTGCGCGGAGATGGGCAGAGAAAGGGGCTCTTTCAAGTTCTGCGATTTTAAGTGTTGAGAGAGAGAACGAGAAGAAGATAGAGAGAGAGAAGGAGGTTTTTCGGTGGGAGCGCTTATCCGTTTCTGTTGCCAAAAGGTTTTTGTGTTTTCTCTGGTTTTTAGAGAGAGAAGGATCTTCTTGTGCTTTTGTGTGGGCTTGTAGAGAGAGAAAAACAGGGGTTTTGGTCTGAGGGCTTATTCCTTTCTACTACGAAGAGATTTTGGCATTTTTTTGTGGTGGTTGTCTTTTGCCATTGTGACTATGGTTTCACAGTTGACAGGCGTGGCTCCTGATGTAAGGATGGCTTCTTGCGACCGAATTCCTGCGACTAAGGTGGATGTGGGGATGCCAAAGGACATGGCCAGGAAAAAGAAGGTGGGTTTTTAGATTGCATTATCAACCCATTCTGCATGTCCTGTTTTTCTATTCATCTCCTTCTTTGTCTGCCTTTATTTTTTGGTTTTTCTGAATGGCATGCAAAATCTTAAAGTGGTTTGGTTTCTGGGGATTTATGTTTCAGACCAATCGGTCGGCTAAATTGAAGCAATGCAAGCTTGATGCCAGGCGTGAACAATGGTTATCTCAAGGTATGTCAATCAGTCTCCTAATTCATGGCTTAAATTTTGACTCTGGTTTTTGGGGTTTTGTTTCGAGTTACAATTGTCAGGATATTCTTAATGTTTGGGTTTTTTTCGATGTACAGATTTTTGAGAAATTTTTTGATGGGTATTTCTTGGGTTCCTAAATCATTGTTTTTTGGGACATTGTTTCCAGTTGTAATTTGGATGGTGAACAGGGTGGTATTTGTGAGAGAAATTGTTTATTAGAAAACAAGGTTTTCGTGAGGAAACTCTGAGTAGGTTCTATTGGTTTCCCAAATCACAGCTTCGATTTTCTTTCTGTTTCTTTTGGGGTTTCATTTTGCAAGGATATTTCTCCACAAATTTAATTTAAATCCCAAGTGATAGTTGTAATTTTCACTGTGTTTTCGGGTTTTCTCAAAAATTCAATATGGAGTATGACTGGCAAGACTTCTGTGATTAAAATTCTTAATATTTCTCATCCTTCACCTTATTCTGTTTGATTATTTCAGCGAATAAGAACAAGGGGTTTAAAGAGGAGAGTGGGGCTTCTCCTCCATCCACACCATCCACTCCCCCCATTGAGGAACAAACCAGACCCCTGCAAAATTCAGATACGAGAGCTACTAAAATCTCATTTGAGGACGAAATCGAAGAAGGATCCAACTTCTCTGAATCTCCAATCAACAGCCCCAAAGCCCCTGACACCGCCCCTAGTTCCGAAATTGGTCCCACTGAAGAAAGGCCGGGCAGCAGTGGCAGTGGCAGTGGCAGTTTCTTTGGTAGCATAAGTGAAGATGAAGATGGGAGCCTTGATGATTGGGAAGCTGTCGCCGATGCCCTTCAAATTTCGCCCAGGATTTTTCCAGAAATTTCAGGAAAACCAGTAGAGACCAACACCACCAAGCCCTCATTGTATCCTAATGGGGGGGCACCGGTTGGAAGCTTGAAACCCGACTACAAGCCCAAACCGAGCCATTTCGAGAATCGAACTGCTCGGGCATGGAGACCTGATGATGCCTCTCGACCCATCTCTTTGCCCACCTTATCAAAACAGCGAAGCTTTCCAATGAATTTGGACAGGCATTGTTTGCATGGATCTATGAATTGGGCCTCTTCTCATTCCACCCCATCTTCTTGCCCCATTTGTTACGAGGAGCTTGATGTCACTGATACTAGCTTTTTTCCTTGTGCATGTGGATTTCGACTGTGCCTGTTTTGCCACAAGAGGATTCTTGAGGCAGATGGGCGGTGCCCTGGGTGTCGGAAGCATTATGCTCCTCCTGCGAGCCCTGCAACGGCTCCATTGCGGCTGCCCCGCTCTTGCAGCATGCGCACTCGGGCTTAGTGGAGGGTTGGGTCCTTTTTATTATTAGAAATCGGCTGTCCGTGTGTGTAAGAATATTGCTTTAGTTCTATGTGATGAAAATGATACTAGTAAGAGAATTTCTAGTGAAATTGTGAATATAGGGTTAGTATTCAAGCATTGGATAACATGATCCAGGGTCTTTGTGAACTGGGTTCGTATCTGTATGTTGCATGCATATGCTTCTGTAGAGATTATAGTGGGTTTGTGAATTGATGATAAAAGGGGACGGACATTTTTGCGAGAGTAATGGCCTTTTTCTCATATGTTTTCCTATCCATGCTTTTTTGTTTTTCATGGTGCACAGATGTGGCATTTTTTATTTGGAGTTGCCTTTTAATTCTATTTACACATTTTATGAGGAGGTCTAAGATTGGATCCATGATATTGAAGTGGAACAGATAATGTTTTCTAACAAGGGTTTATGTTCACTTTTATCCTATATGCAAGAGTAATGCCTGATTCCGCTGGAATTCTCAGTATTCATTTATTATCGGAAGCAAATGTGGAGTTGTAACAGAAGTATTCTCATCATGGCACCTAGGACTTTTTTACTTTCTTTAGAGATGGTCTCTATAACTCAGAAGCTTGGTGGAAAATATGCTTATCTTGTTCTTATCTATTGAAAGTTCATCTTTGGATGGATAGACTTTCTTGAAGGAATTTACTTACTGACGATGATTTTGGTTTCTGCTCATGTGACCAGCTTAGTGGATGACTTCTTATGAGTCAGAAGCTCTGTATGTGCCTTCTATTGTAAGACATTATATTTACCTGTTCTTTTCCTGTTCTTTGGATGTCTTTCTGTAGGAGATACGAGCAGAGGCCGAAGTGAATGTAAAAAGTTCTTCTCAACCTGCAACTGCTTTCTCGTTTAACAGGTGCTACCAAGAAGGTTATTCTTCTATTGTCTGTATGCATTTCCTAATATGTTATGCAGTGAATAGCACTAAATAGCTTCCTTGTGATGGCATTATGTACAACTTCATGTGTATCTAACAAACTATTTAATGTAGACTTATTGCATTTAGCTTGAATTGGTGTAGTAATCCATAGCCATTTTATTTTAAGTTTAGATGTCAAGATCCCTTTTGAATTGTAATAGAGTGGAATTTTTCTATTGAACTGTTCAGACCAGGTTGGGACTGAAGTTTAATGTCAATGGACTATCATTACTAATCTAGAAAAAAGAAAGTCAGTGTGCCACTATTAATATATTGATATAGAATATGCCTTCATACAATAGAGAAGTTCCGGCTTACCCTTGGGTTAGAGGAGTATCATGTTATAGTTTTTTAGCTTTGTTTGTGAAGAACTATGATGTCTATAAATAAATGATGGGCAAGAGTTCCGTTTATGTTTCTTCCCATTTCTAATGGATTTCTATTAGACTATTTGTTAACAATAATCTTTGTTTGGGTTTATGAGGGTTGGTGGTTGGGGTGCTAATCATGTCGGGTTGACCCAATGACTAGGGCCGGACCCTGAAACTGGACCTGGTTGGTCGGGCTGGGTCTAGGTCTGGCTTGACCTATATGGGGTGGACATGCTGACCACCCGGCTTGGGTCTGGATTAGAGGAAACTGGAGCTTGCCGGGTGAGTTTCAGGTCAACTTGACCCACTTATATGTTGTGGGTAATAATCTATGTATGTTTTAACCTTGGACATTAATGTTGTAGCTGTTGTACTCATCACTTGGCCAGGAGGCTAAATCAATGTTTAACTGTCTCACTCAGCCATTACAAATTGCTAGGTTTATATGTCTTCGTACTTTACTAGGAGTATAGAACTTCTCGGTAAGATGTCCAAATATGATATTGATATGGACACGGGCACAGAAACTTCCTCATGGAATGGGGTACGACTTGGGATTTCTCGAAATTCTCGATACAGATTCTGACATGAGCATCCTATTTAAAACAGTTATAAGTAGTCCTTTTTTGGCTAAACATCTTTGAGTATATATAGTATAGCTTGTGAAAGACAAAAATACATGCATCCAACACATTGGTGCTTACCCTATCATAGTGCATATTATATGAATTGTATACAATGAGACCATTTACCTTTGTTACAAGGACGTCACAATTTATAACCATCCGATGTGAAATTTGATAGCTGGGGTGTGTCACAAAGTTCGAAACAATTTCTTTTGAAGTTTGTGCATGGTCAATGGAATAAATGCAACCATCCAATTTCACATCCAATGGTCAAGATTAATTGTGACCACCTTGTAAAGTTGTACCAAAGGTAGATGGTCTCATTGTATAATTCTCATTATTATATTGTTTATAGTTTTCTAATTTTATGTTTACAAGTATCGTAGCAGTATCCAGTATTCTTATTTGTGTTGACATGGTACAACACTGACATATTACACATATACCAGTATCTGTGCAATCTTTGTTCTGAGTGTTTATGGTTGTTAGTGAAAATTATCAAGATAGATAACTTATGACATATTGAGCCATTATGGTTATTTGTGTACCCGTATTATTGTAGTAGGATATTGTCTTGGAGGTACTCGGTTTCTATGTATTTTGTGGTGTATAAGAATGCATATATAAGTGTAGTCACATATTCTCATACATATATAAACAGACATTCAATTACATTTTTGTGTATGTACATGTACATAAGAAAGTTAATTTATATTTACATAAGAAGGAAACTTTCTTATGCATGTAAATGTACATAACAAACTAATGCAAAAGCGGACGTACATGCATACACAAAGTTATGGGCACATGTGCAATTACGTTCTTATGTGCATACATGGTTTAAGAAAGTAAAGCGTCCACATAAAGTGGATTCATGAAGTGGTTTACACAGGCAGGTAGGAGCTATTTGATGAGATGTTTTCGGATATGCCCTCAAGCTCATTGGTTAACTAGGTTATGCAGCTACTATCTCATCCATGTCACTTCCATTAACCTTTTCCTAATGATCTTTCTCTCTCTCTCTCTCTCTCACACACACACACACACACACACACACATTCTCATAGAGCAAATCAAATGATCTTTCTTATATGGAAACAGTTAAACATTTCCTATTTGAGATTAAAAAAAAACTGATTTCTCTTACCTAGAGAGAGCCCTTAAAGTCTTCAACTACAACTTCTCTTACCCAGAGAGATAAAATCTCTTTCCTAGAGAGATAAAATCGGAATTCTCTTACTCAGAGAGAGAAAAAAAAATACTGCAAGTCTGCCTTACCTAGAGAGAGCCCTTAAAACCGCTTCTCTCTCTCTCTCTCTCTCTCACTCTCAAAATGACTCTTCTCAAACTTCAACTACAAACCCATGTCTCTCTATTTCTCTTATCTCCTTTCAGTCTTCAACCTAAACGTACTTCTCTCTTTCTCTAGAATACCTCCTCAACTATGATCCCTAGATACTGTCTTCTCACTCTGTATATATGAGAGAACCGCTTTTCTACAGAACCTGGATCTCTCTTATTAGTCAGAAGACCCAAACTCTTCTACAAACTCTCTCTATCTCAAATCTATTCATGGGAAAGAAAACCACTTCTTGTCAGACCTTATTCAATAGCTAATACCCAAAGCTCCCTCAACCCAAAAGACGCCTATGGGAAAATGATAGAGAAAATGGTGTGGTTTAGAAGTAGTTGTCAAGGGACAAGGGAGTTGGATGACTCTTAGAGAGGAAATGTGGTGGCAATGATGGGAGATGAACACTTAGGGCGTGCTAGGCCTTCTAGATGCTCTGTCTTCCATGAATTACTCTCGCATTTGTTACGTAGGAGTGGAAGCCTTATTTGGAAACAGTGGCTTCCAAACTCCCCAAAAACAATGTCAATTGATGTTGTTTTTGGGAGTCTGTCACTTCCTTGAGTTATAAACTTTGTGGATGCTCTTCCACAAACAAATGCACCTTTAAAGAGGGAAGATGAACATCTTAGAGCGAGAAAGTAGTTGTAGTTGGAGTAATGAAATGAGATAATAATGGAGGGAGAGGGAGAAGGGGATTGAAAGATTGGATGAGAGGAGAAATGGGGCTTAAAGAGATGCATACTTTTGAGTGGGGGTAGTGGTGGTGGATTAAGCAGCCAGTCTCCTCTTTCAGTCAAAACCCTAGTGGCAACAAGCTAATAACCAGCTCGCCAATCTTTTTTAATTTTATTTGGGGAAGAGTTTTGTCTTTTACTTTTTTTCTTTATGGCCAATACCTTGCATAAACATATTTCACCGAAGTCTGTACGTCTTTGTGTCATGGTCAAAATTACCAAAAATATCAATAGGGCATTGATTAACTAGGAAGGTTTGCTATGGTTTGGAGAATTGCAAAAATTAAGAGAATTTTGATTTAGGATAAACTAGGAGAATTTGATTTTCCTTAAAATTAGTGAAAGACAACCAATAATTTGTATTGAGGAAGATAAAGTTGGGATGTTTCATAGTTTCTGTAAATGAGATTCGTCTCTATTAGAAGTTGTTCTTGGGCATCCATGAAAGTTTTCCTTGAGAGATGGTATACCTGGTTGAATTTCTTGAATATTCATTAAAATTTTTGTTAGGAGCAGTGTGCGTGTTTGACGTTTCAAAGAGAAAAAATGCTTGGAAGTCCTTCCCCACATCTTAAGAAAATCCCACCCAACAGTTCAAACCAGTGGTTTAAAAATCGGCGAGTCGCAACGGACTCGCTCAAGTCGGGCACAGGAATCGGTGACCCCGTATCGATTTTTGTGTAAAATCGGGAACGCTCGGTTCTAGAGTAGATGTCGGTTCTGAGCAGTGAACTGCCTTCATGACGTCATAAACCGGCGGTTCTCGTAAGTATGACGTCACAAGATCTGTTGTGGCTGACGTCACCATGCTCCGTGTGTGTGAATACATCTCGCGTGTGTCGCACGTGTGAATACATCTCGCGTGCGTCGCATGTGCTCCAAAATCTTATGTGTACCGCACGTGATTCCCATCTCAGCATATCGTTTAGAAGAGCTGATGGTTCAATTGTTTATATACCCAAGGTTTGTCCTACCTCTCTTCGATGTGGGACAATTCTCAATGCCCAATGTTGAGATGTTAAATCAATATGTTGATTTATTATAGCGTAATATGCTAAATGTGGTGCAGCGGGGAGTTGGTTATCACGTTGGATTTCTATACGAGTGGTCTCAGGTTTGAACCTCCATGGTGTTAACTTTGTCATGAAAAATAGTTTTTCTTTTGTCAAATAATATCACACAAAAAATGTGTTTTACGTTTGTGTTTTATTTTTGTCTATCATAAAAAATAATATCAAGGAAGAAAAT